GCTCTAATCTTACAGTGGGCCCCCTAACCTTATGGGGCCGTGGTGCAGCTGCACCACTGATATTTAAGCCCGTGATCTGAACATTACTTAAAAACCAGTAATACAATGAAATAAAGTGCACATTTTTGCACTAGAGAAAATTGGGTGTACAATGTCATTATTTTTTTTAAAAAAATAACAAGCTCACAGAGTTCCTAAAGAGTCCTAAACAGGGGACCAGAAGGACAATCTGGCCTAGCATTCAAGTGTACCAGGGCTTACCTGCAACCTTTACACACACCCATGATATTTAGTAATAACGGCAAAATGTTATAATGTTACATATATTTTATATAGCAAAACAAAGTGAACTGAATTGCCCCCTGTTGCTAAAAAAAAATCTTTACCTACATTGATTTTCTAATCTCTTAACTCAGGACTCCTATACACATTAAAATCAATATCTATTTTACACATGAGCGATAACAAAATTAAATAAGTGGAAAACATAATGAGAGCGACTCTGCATGGCTATGCTTAGCTCGGTGAACTTAACTGGCTTCTCCTTGCAGGAAAATCCAAAAGAAGGCAGTGTAGGCAAACAGTGGGACCTATGTATGTTGTCAAACTGGTACTCCGCTACCATAACCACTAAAATGAGCTGTAGTGGTCATGGTGCTTACACTGTTCCTTCAAATTACCTCTTTACTTCCTCTGTATTATGCTCCCTCTTTGCCATGTGTCCTATCTCAAAATAAAACATAACCAATTAATGACAGATGTGTAATACTTTGTCTAGCATGTAAGCTCATTGAGCAGGGCCCTTAAAGCGGCACTGTCATGGCCGAATCCCGTTTTTTTTTAACTCCCTCCCTCCCTCCCGACTCCACTACATCTAACTGACCCCTAGTCACCCCCAAATACCCCTAAGCTCCCCACATTACCTGTTTTTTTTTTTTTTTTTGATAATCTTTATTTGTATATGGTTTTTCAGTAATAGAACAAGTTTAGAGGAGGACTGGTCAGGTAAGGGTAAGGAATCTTCATGGAATATACATACAATATAGTTCAGCTTGGCATGATGTTGGTATACGGTAAGTTACACTTAGGGGTACAGAGAGATTGTACAGTCTGCGCCTTCACATTTCTCTCAGGTTTCTGTACATAGGTACGCTTACTTAGCCATGTGTTCCGTTGTTTATATCATTACATCTTTGAAGTGTGGTGGTGTTCGGGTTGGTATTGGGATCTGGACTGGGTCTGGTGGTCAGTTGGCTGCATGTACCGGGCTTAATGTTTCATGAGGTTTGTCCGTATAGGCAATTGGACTCATGTTGGGCGACTAAAGTTGGAGTGTTCTGTCCTATTTATGGGTACCTGCTCGTGGTCCATAGTGTGTGCTCCCTTCGTCGGTTGTTTGGGCGTGTGGGGCTATGTTTCTTTCCCGGGCTTAGGATCGGTCTGTGTGTCAGGGTATGGTGCTGTCTGTGTGTTTACACCCGCACCTGTATAGGAGAGGTCCCCGTGGGGCTGGATCATTCTTATCTCCTATTGTAGGGAGGGGCAAGGGCCTCAGGCAGTCGTGTTGTCTTGGGCGTTTAAACTGTAGCAGTCTAGGTGGTCTGTGCTCTTCATCTTGTCTTTGATCGAGTCGGTTAGGGTTGTTGATCCTAATAATTGTGTCCTTGTTTGGTTGAGGACCCATCTAGTCTAATGTGTAGTCCAGTCCCACTCAAGGTAAGTCAGGGTACGGTGATGGTGGGGATCATGAGAAGGGTAGGTGGGGAAGGGAAGCGGGGAGCAGCTGTGAGAGATGAGGGTGTGTGGAAACAGGGTTGGGGTGTAGGTTCAGCGGGCTGGTCTGTCAGCCGATGTGTATAAGAGCCATGGGGCCCATGTCTGGTTACACTCTTCAGTTAGGCCCTGCATTGCAGCAGTCATTGCCTCCATTGCCTGCATTTCTCCCACCCTATCTACCCACTGTTGGAAGGTGGGGGCCGCTGTCTTTTTCCATAGTGTGGTTATCAGGGATTTTGCTGCTGTCAGTAGATGTTTCGTCAGGGACTTTTTATATGTTTTCAGGGCCATGCTTGTGTGGTGTAGTAGCATGGGTAGAGGTTGAAGTGGTAGTTCTGGATCCGAAATTTCCCTAATTTTCATATAGACCATCTCCCAGTAGGGGGCGATAGCTGCGCAAGACCACCAGATGGGAATAATGGTGCCTCTCTCCTGTCCGCATCACCAGCACGTATCCTCTATGTTTTGGTTCATACGATGTAGGATATCAGGGGTCCTGTACCAGGTCGTCAGTACTTTGTAACTCATCTCCTGGAACTTCGAGCAGATGGAGCTTTTGTGGGTGAGCAGGAATATTTTGTCCCACTCTTGAGTGGATAATGAACTTCGGTGTTGGTCCCTTGTCTCCCTCCAGTAGCATTGCATATAGTGTCGATATCCCTCTCGCCATATTCCGTATTGGGAACGAGTCTGAGAGGTATGTCCAGTCTACTTGGTCAAAGGCCTTCTCCGCGTCCGTGGACAGGAGGGCCAATTCTCTGCCCCGTCTCTGTGCCGAGTGGATGATGTTGAGGGTCCGGATGGTATTGTCTCGTGCCTCTCTGCCTGGCATGAAGCCCACCTGGTCCGGGTGTACCAGATCGGGTAGGACCCTAGAGACGCGGAGTGCCATGACTTTTGCAAACAGTTTGAGGTCCACATTGAGGAGGGATATTGGGCGATAGCTCGCACACCTGGCTGGGTCCTTCCCCTCTTTCAGCAGGACCGTCACTATGGCCCTTAGCAAGTCCATTGGGAACTGTCGTCCATCTAGTGAAGAGTTCAATCCCTCCAGTAAGTGCGGTAGCAGGATATCTTTGAATGTGCGCAGATAGCTTGCGGGGTATCCGTCTGGTCCTGGCGCCTTGTTGGGTTTGGTCAGCTTGAGGGCCGCGGACAGCTCTTCGATGGTGACGGGTTGTTCTAAGTCTGCTGCCTTCTCCGGGTTAAGCTTTCGGGCGATGTTCCTGGTTAGGAAGTCTTCGAGTTCGTGTCTGTGTTGTGCCGGGTTGGTGGTACCTATTTTTTTATCTTTATTTTCTGCCCCGACCTATATTCAGGGCGCCGCCATCTTTGTGTGGGTAGATAGCACTATGAAATACCGGCACATGCCCAGTTAAACACTTGGGCATGCGAACGGGAATTTCATCTATTCATTCGTCAGAAAGACGAATGAATGAATAGAAATGTCAGACGAACAAACAAATACTGAATATCAGTGTTCGTTTGTTCATTCAGTTTATTACAAGGAGGGAGCTACCGGCTCGCAGCTGTGCTCCCCGCCACTTCCTAACCCCTATCCTATCTCACTCTCTGGGGTCAATATGACTCCCATAATAGCATTAGGGAGATTAAAATATCCCAAATGCTCCTACTCGCTATACCGCAAGTAGGGGCATGTATACTAAACAGTGAGCAGCCTGTGGCATACACGTACACTCACTGACAGGCTGCTCACTGTTTACTAGACATGCCCCTACTCGCGATATTGCAAGTAGGGGCAGCATTTACTAATACTAAGTAATCTTTACTTAGTATTAGTAAATGTGTCTGAAAGACCAATTTAGGTCTTTCAGCCTTTTGGTAGATAGCTCCCTAATACCGTGGGAATTAGGGAGCTATCTACTAAGCGTCTGCAAGATTCAGCCGCGGCAGGAATAGGATCGGAGTTTCATTCATTAGAATGAAATTCCAATCCAGGTAAAGTTCCGAATTGTGTCCTAACGCGAATAGAGAAACTGTTCTCATTCTGTTAGGACGCAATTCGTTAGTTTTGCCGGTGTCCTGTCTAAGTGACAGGACGTTCGGCAATACTGACAGGATGCATCGCGGGAACAGGGAGGAAAGCTTAGAATTGTTGGAAAATTTCTCTTACCACCGGAAATGAAGCACACTTTTCTCCTCCGTTGGTCAGAGATGGTCAGGCGTAAGAAGCCTCCATAAGACAAATAGTCCCTACTTTGTCTTATGTTTTAAAGAAAGCGAGCAGACAGGAAGAACTGAAGAACAGATCCTGAGAGAGGGAGAGAAGAGGAATCGATTAAAGAAAGGTAAGTTCGGCATGACAGTGCCGCTTTAACCCCTCTGTTCCTGTGTGTCCATTTGTCTGGTTACAATTACGTGTATATTTGTCCACCCATTGTACAGCGCTACGGAATTTGATGGGCTATATAAATAATAAAATAATAATAATATAGTGACTATGATTGAATTGTATTTGATTTTATAACCATTATTTTATGTTCTCCTGGTAGTCTAGGCAAGTTTTTTAATTTCTCTAAGGCCTCTCGGGACCTATTATATGTGAAGGCCACTGTTGTCTTACAATGCAAGCTTTGTATGAAATGAATTCTGCCTTGTTTGTCGTTAACATATTCTATGCAAAATTACCATTTCTCTCAGAACACACACTTATTGGTAGCACTAAATAAAGCATTAGGGAAAAAAGTTAAATGAAAGTAATATTTGGTTCAGGATGAAACCCATATTGCCATAGCTTAGATTTAGCCCTCATCTAGCATTCATCAAATGTACAGCAAAACAGGATTTGTCAACTAGATTGATGAGCAGCCAGTGTTTACTCAGCCTTTAATAATTGTTAAGCCCCCATCATCTCAGCGGCGAGATGGAAGGAATTAACCAGATAGGCAGTGACGGATTTCCCAGTAAGGAATCTTCCTTTATGTCAGAGAAATAGCAGGCCAACTAATATTCTGTAAAAAACTAATGAAAAGAATAACACCATTGTATATAAATGTACTTAATATTGATTCTTATATAGAACCATTCACATGATTCAGAGCCATTTCCATTCTCTATAATTTGAGCATATAGGTTGCCCAATCACAGGCTGTAATAACAAAAAAGCTGTAAAGGTACAACTTGTCAACCAGAAAGACCTAAAGAGTGATTAAAAATAAATCATGTTTATACGGCAGGACACGACAAACTTCAATTATGAAGCAATGTCCCAAAAACAATTGACTCCCAAAAAACACGCCTTAGAGGCACGGAAATGGTCACACAAGACTGCCAAGGCCCTGGCCCTCAGCCCTGACTCACCACATCCGCATCGACACACCAGCAAGCAATCGCACCGATACACTAACTATAAACAACCCACGAACACCCAGAGGCCACGTCATAGGGAAAAGTGGGTTCAAGACTCCCAGACAGAATCCAGAGTACGATCGGAGAAGCCGGTCAACGGCCCCCTAACAGCAGCAAACAAAAACAAGAGAACAAACCAGAAGCATTAACATGAATCACCACCCCCTTAGCTGGTAGATGGAGAGAGAGAACAAGCACGGTACACTCACTACTTCCAATTGTTGAATCATAACTAACACCTATTTGAACTGCACCACAGGTACAGTACTTAACTCTATTATCTCCCAGGTACAGAGGAGGAGTTATCCTGTTTTATGTGGGAGTGCCCTGGACCTGAGAGCCAATGTCATTGTGTGATTGTTTGTACTGCAGTCTGCTCTCAGGTCCAGGGGGGAGTGCCCCTTGCATGGAGGCTTGTGTGTGTGTGTGTGTGTGTGTGTATATATATATATATATATATATATATATATATATATATATAGTTGTGACTACCATTAAACACATTCGGTTTACCCGTACATGAAGTTTTAGCTCATGTTTGGGGGATTGGGAGCTATATTCACTATAATCACTTCTATGCTTGGATTTCGGGAGACTCTTCACGGATATACTCAGCTGGAGTATAGGGAATCCGTTACACACAATCACAGACAAATCCACAGACCCCTGCCCCTATCCCCCCACATAAAGCCAATCACTGACAAAACATACCCAAAAATCACATGCACACACAGTCACAGACAAATCCACAGACCCCTGCCCCTCTCCCCCCACATAAAGCCAATCACTGACAAAACATACCCAAAAATCACATGCACACACATTTAGTTCTAAAGAGGTCCACCCATCCTCCCTACCTTGCTCCGGGAGGGCTGGTATAAATTCTTATGTCCCTGGTGGCCAGTGGTTTCTGCAGGGCTTGGATCTCTGTGCTCTTCCTGCACAGGTTCCTCACGCACCCAGCAGTGATGCAGGAATGACGTCATATCCCGGGTGCCAGCTCACTGCCGGGCACAGAGGGAGCTGTGCAGGAGGACCACAGAATGTAATGGGCTTCCTGCCTCCCTCTCTGCCTGGCCAGGCGGACGGCAATCGGGCCGTTGGTTGGACACCCATGCTATACACCATTAGAAGTTGGAGAACTATTATAATTCACACAAGGAGGATTAAAAAAAATAAAGAGAAATACTTATTTTAAATATCCCTTTGTAGCTCCTTTTAAATTAGTAGACAATGCTCCAAATTTTACACATGTATTAAAGCAAAATAATAACATACAGTGCAGACAATCTGTTAATGTATAATTTAAGATTGACCAGCTCTAGTATAATAAGCTTGTAGGAGTATTAGAGGTAATCACCAGCCTCCTTCATTGGTTGTAGCAGAATTGCTCAGCAGCATTGAATCAAAAAATATATATATAGTGCACACCATTAAAACATGTACAATTACTAGCTTTTACAAAGAGACAGTTATTTACTAAAGAAAATAAAACATAGTGAAAATACAACTTAGCTTTTAATGTATATCAATCTAAAATCAGAATAACAAAAGTGAATCAAATAGACTATAACAATACGTATAAAAAGGTATTTTATCTAACCGTATTAAAGGGATCCAATAGTGCCAGGAATACAAACCCGTTTTCCTGGTGCTATAGGCTCTTGGAGAGCCCCCCTCCCTCGAGGTCCCTTTCTCTCGGCACTGAAGGGGTTAAAACCCCTAAAACCACTTACCTTAATCCAGCGCCGGTGACCTCTCCTCCCCTGCCAACGTCCGTTCCCGAGTGGAGTCAAATACGCATGCGCGGCCAGAGGCGCGCGCGCATTTAAACCCGCCCATAGGAAAGGTATACTCATTGCTTTCCTATGGGGATCTTATTTGACGCTGGACTCCATGAAGACGTCCAGCGTCAGATAAGTGCGATTTACTCAGTGTTAATCGAAGAAGCGGCCTCTAGTGGCTGTCAGGGAGATTAGGCTGGATTAACCCTGCAATGTAAACATAGCAGTTTCTAACCTGACACTCAGACCACTTCATTGAGCCGAAGTGGTCTGGGTGCCTATAGTAGTCCTTTAAAGTTAATAGCAACCAGAAAATATCTTCATAAATACTAGCCTGTCAATTACAATTGAAGATTATACTAGCGGGATGACCAAGGCAGTGTTACTCACTGAACACAGAGGTGATGGAGAATCCTCGCAACCATTGCGAAGGAGGGAAAAGCATATGCCCCCCGGGGAGGCCCAGCTGGCAGGAATGAGACCACCATTGTGCACTCTGGATCCGGCAGCCAATTAAAGAACACTGAATTCTGGTGGTCCCTCTGAATGTTGAAGAACTAATCCGTGTTGAGATGTGTCTCCCCCGGGAAAAAGTCCGCCCTCAGGGACATTCTGCGAGGAAGGCAGAAATCGAAGATGCCTTTTCATGATGTCTGATAGTAGACGGGAGCTGGCTCTGTCCAGGCGATTGATATACCTGACTGCTGAAACAAATGGAGTACTCCTTTACCAGTCTGCGGATAGTGAAAGATTACAGGTATTCAATGTAAAGGGAGAATTCCTGAGTTGTGCACCCACAAGCTGGTATCCGACTCCAGAATGAAGTCCGATTGGACGAAGGTGTGAGTTTGCCTGAGGAAATCTTACCAGAAAGCGCTGCATGTCCCGATAAGGTAGTGGGTCTGGGAAGATAGCCTGGATGGGGGAGGGCAGTAGCCCACAATAAGTGCGAGTGTGTGGAGGGTCATGGTGTTTCAGTGGAGGACCTTGCGAATTGCTTTGAGAATAGAGGAGTCCTTTGAAGGGGAAAGCTTCAGGGTGCAAGACACAGAGTCGATTACGAATCCTAACAAGTGGGCCATCCACTACGAAACACAACAATTCCAGCCGGACCACGGAGAATCGCGAATGTTGACACAGTCTTGAATTCTCTGGACTGAACAGAAGGATATTGTCCAGGTAAATAATGCAACGCATTTCCCATACGTAATTGATCACTGGTTTCAGTAGTTTCATGAAGCCCCAAGGATCCAAGCTGAGTAGGCAGGTGAAGTGCCAAGGTTAATCGCGGCACAGGAAACATAGATAAGGTTGGCAAGAGGGGTGGAAAAGGACAGATAGAATGTGTCTTCATATCCAGTTTCTCAAGCCAGTCGTCTACTTGAATAAGTATTAAGTTTGAATGCCTTCCACCTAGAAACGATGGTATCTCATGTGGGCGTTATAGAAAGTACAGTCGATGCTACCCTAGGGATGCTCACCTGAGGAAAATGGAAGCTAACGAATCTGCACATTCAGATGTTGATCATCTGGAGCACCGGAAGGATGTCTCTCACCCACTTCGGTTAAGAGTTTGCGATAGCGAGTTACAGGGGTCAGACGGCCCGAAGTGGTTGGCGACATGGCCCCACTGTTGATCAGTCCTGTAGAACACCCCTTAGGGAGGGCACCATGTAACACCTTCCTCATGGAGGTTTGGGACTTGATGAGGGAAGCGGGAACATAAACGTGTGTAATAAGCTCCCTCAGGCAAGAGCATGCCTTGTGCCTGGGGTCCCAATGTTTTTGCGCCCAGATCTGCCAACTATCTGCCAATACAGAGGAGTGCTGCTATGCGCTTCTCATAGGAGAGGCAAACATTGGTGTTTCTGAAGAAACAGAAACATCCCTGAGCCCATTCACGAATATCGTGAGCCCATTCCCGGATGGTGCTGGCATCATCATGTATTTTACTCTTGAGAGGGAGTCAATAGAGTCCCCTACCCCTTAATACCCCTAGTCCTAGTATTAAGGACTAGGACTAGGGGTATTAAGGATTAGGGATAGGGGTATTAAGGATTAGTGGTAGGGGTATTAAGTGCCCCAAGTCCTTCACTTACCTTTTGTGAGATGGACTTTCTAAGGGTTCTTCAATAGCTTCAGTAGAGCGGCGACCGGTCCAACATGGCGGCTGCATTCCTCGGCGCTCAGCACACAATGCCATAGACGTGAGGCATCTGTGTTCTATGTATATGGGTTACACAGCCATTGACCAGTAGGATCCAGGATCGTTTCAGTGTCTTCTTGGTCAGTAGCGTGCGAGGCACCGTCACCCTCAGCTACCTGGGCTCACCCAGAAAAACGTGTACACGAATGCAGAGCCATATATGGATTCCGAACTCCAGTCGTCGTCAAACCCCGATGCCTCCGCGTACCTTTGTTCCAGGATGGACAGATAATGTTGCAGTCCTCAGCCGAGGAGGGTTCTAACCGTGGGGTCAGGTAGGTGAGTCGGTGTATTGCATTTGCCGGGGGCTTTGTCCTTAGACCGTAGAGAGCTAGTTTCTTCGCCAATCCAGTGACGCTTGTTATGATGGTGGGACCCCTTAGCGGAGACATCCCAGGCATCAGAGTGGCCGATACCAGTGAGGGAGCCAGCACTCCTGCCAGCACACTTGCTCCCAGAACCTCGCCACCGATGTGTGTATCATTATTATTATTATTTTATTATTTATATAGCGCCATCAGATTCCGTAGTGCTGTACAGGTATCATGACCTGTAATTCCACAGGGTTAGCCCGGGAATCTTCTATAGTGGCAAATCGTTTGACACAGAATTGGGGCTCACCCAAAAAAGTAGACGGGTAGATTTATCATGATATGGGATACCCCTGTAGAAGGCACGAAATAGTAGGCAATTTCAGAATGCAGGGCAAACAGATCAGACTACCATTGTAGCAGGCAATGCTCACAGAAACCCCTGCAGGGTTGTAATCTGAACAGTCACCGAATAATATAGACTGGGGCTAACCCAGTAAACAGAGGCTGCAACAGCATGCCTCCACTCAGCAGCACAGTGCAGCACACATATAGTAAGGGCCTCACCCCAGGTGCACAGGGTATTGAACCCTTAAGTGCTGGCCACAGACCTGATAGAGAGCATCAATCAATTCTCCAAGAAGTAATTCACTGTCATGGGAGATATTCCTTTAAGCAAGAAGTGCTGTAAATCCTGTCCAGCAGTTAACAGAGGCTGTAGAAGCATCTCTCCATACAGTAGCACAGTGTAGTAAAATATATAGTAAGGGCCTCACCCCAGGTGCACAGGGTACGAACCCTTATCTTTTGAACACAGCTCTGACAGAGAGTACCAATCTATGCTCAAACAGTTCAAGGTTATGGGAGTGTGACAAACTCCGCTTCCCACATGAGTTTGCCACGAGCTCCTGGAGGGGCCTGCTTGCCTGTCCACAGACTATGGGCCCTGCAGGTTCTGCACAGTTTGGATGACCCTATCTCAGCGAAAAAAGAGACAGAATAGAGGGTGACACTCCGAATCGAACTCTGGATAGGGTTTTTCTGAGAAATTTTCCCAAATTCCAACCAACGCCGATGGGACCAATTCGACCTGCAAATGCTGTTTCTGGGAGAGTAGCCCCTAGAGGAGTGGGTAAGAGAACTAAAGCGGTTGGTCGAAATCAAGGTATGGTTGGACGAATCCTACCAGGCTTTATGGTGGCCTGCAGGCCACCGCTAACCAGGGCTACTCCTCTACCAGCTTCCCGAGGGAAAGGACTACATTGGGCCTGGGCTGTTGTGGGGGGTTTTTGAGGATCCCCTGGGGTTTGAAAACCTGGACAGTACTCGCTACGGGTGTGTCCGCGACAAGCGGAAAGACAGCTTGGGATTTCCATTGGTGGCAGAATTGCAGCAGGATTTGTCTTACCTGGTTAGCCTGGAGTGCAAGCTCGAACAGGACTATGTCCGCTTGCTCCAAAGGTTAACATTGCCTGTCTCTGACATGATGGGGATATGGACTGTATCACACCGGGAGAGTTGAGTTTCTTCCCTCCTCCCCAGCAGCTGTACCTGTCATCAGTAGACCCGGGCACTGTACCACCTACTTCCTGTCACATCATGCCTTGTTCTGCGGATCAGTCTGGTGATGGCTTCTGGTATCCAGTACTCTTTTTACAATTCTTGTTTAGTTTTTCTTGGTTTTATGGTTTTCTATTCCATGTCTGGTTTTCCTTATGCTGGGTTTTCTGGGTTCATTCCATCATTCCGTCCCTGGAATTCCCAGTCTCCAGGATGCATTTAAATGTTTGTTTTATGTTGCCACACCTGTTTGTTTTCCATTTTCTTTTTGTTTCAGTTTGGACCTGCAGCAGTGGTTAAAGTCTTTGCCCTTTCTTGCAGGTAAGTGCTATTGTGGTTTAGTATGGTTCTTTTAGCGAACATTAGGCAGTGTAGGACCTGACGAATATGGGGTACATTGGCGTTGTGGCAGGCTTATGCAATGTATGATCATATAATGTAACTAAATCCCCATACTTTTCATATATAGTGCTTAATTATGTCTCCTTGTTTTGCCTATTATATCTTGTCTTGTTTTAGTTTGTATACCCAGTCCATGTACAGTCCTGTCCTGCCCCTGTTTAGTTAATGTTCCCTTATGTATTGTGTACATGTTCTGGGTTTAGCTTCCTATCCTTCTCTGGTTCTGGGTTCTACTAGTTTTGTCTTGTTTTCATGTCTGGTGCCTGTTCTAGCCTTGCCTTGTTTCTGTACTGCATACATGTCTGCTGCATTGCCCCCCTATCCAGTTCCTGGGAGGTCTGCATATCAAGCTCCTAGTTCCTGGTATCCGCTGTAGCTGCATCAGGGTTCTGGTACGTGGCCGCGCAAACGCTGGTGCTCAACCCCAGAGGACGTGTGGTTACCTTGCACCAGGCCCTGATAGTCCATTACCACGCTGAGACTCCCAACTTCTCATCAGGCACTCAGGGGTCCCGGTTTCCGTACCGCCACCCTGACAGATGGCCGCAGGCACTTGGAGTTCGTGTAGTGGAATTTGCAGCTTTCCTGTTCTGTCTGTGTCGTATCGTATCATGCCTGGTTATACGGCATGCAAGAGTTCCTGTATCTGGACCAGTCTGCTGGAGATGGCTTCCTTATTTTTGTCGTGGAGGAGGTCGATCTGCTAAGCTGTACGGTGGTCGCTTCAGGTGTTCTCTTGTGATACTTGGTTCCTGTTTCATGGCAGTGCTCCTATTCTGGTGTGGATCTCGGTCCTGGCTGGTGGTTCCTTTGCAGGAGACCTTTCCAAAGAAAGTTAAGTAGTTCGGAATGGCATTGTGAGCCGCAAACTACTTTCCTGCTGTGTCGGGAATCCTTGCCTCCGGTAAGTCTTGAGGACTTAGTTGCTGGATCCTCGCTTCTTTCCTGGTCTCTTCCTGAGAGCTGCTTGTCGCGCCCAGAGGTTGCTCCTTAAGAGGGGAGTTACGTCACATCGTGCCTTGTTCTGCGGATAAGTCTGGTGATGGCTTCTGGTATACAGTACTCCTTTTACAATTCTTGTTTAGTTTTTTTTTTGGTTTTCTATTCCATGTCTGGCTTTCCTTATGCTGGGTTTTCTGGGTTCATTCCATTATTCCGTCCCTGAAATTTTCCTGTCTCCTGGATTCATTTATAGGTTTGTTTTATGTTGCCACACCCTTTTGTTTTCCATTTTCCTTTTGTTTCAGTCTGGACCTACAGCAGTGTTTCAAGTCTCTGCCCTTTCTTGCAGGTAAGTGCTATTGTGGTTTAGTGTGGTTCTTTTAGCGAACATTAGGCAGTGTAGGACCTGCTGAATATGGGGTACATTGGCGTTGTGGCACGCTTATGCAATGTATGATCATATAATGTAACTAAATCCCTATACTTTTCATATATAGTGCTTAGTTATGTCTCCTCTTGTTTTGCCTATTATATCTTGTCTTGTTTTAGTTTGTATACCCAGTCCATGTACAGTCCTGTCCTGCCCCTGTTTGGTTAATGTTCCCTTATGTATTGTGTACATGTTCTGGGTTTAGCTTCCTATCCTTCTCTGGTTCTGGGTTCTACTAGTTTTGTCTTGTTTTCATGTTTGGTGCCTGTTCTAGCCTTGCCTTGTTTCTGTACTGGATACATGTCTGCTGCAGTGCCCCCCTATCCAGTTCCTGGGAGGTCTGCATATCAAGCTCCTAGTTCCTGGGATCCGCTGTAGCTGCATCAGGGTTCTGGTATGTGGCCGCGCAAACGCTGGTGCTCAACGCCAGAGGACGTGTGGTTACCTTGCACCAGGCCCTGATAGTCATTACCACGCTGAGACTCCCAACTTCTCATCAGGCACTCAGGGGTCCCGGTTTCCGTACCGCCACCCTGACACTTCCCAACCAGGGATAGGGGATTGTCGGTCCCCCTCCCCAGCAGCATGTCAAAACTCAAAGTCTAGCACGGGCCACATAAACAAGGTTTACGTTTTTGTGGGCCGCAAAAAAAACAAAAACTTACATTTTCTTAGAAACGTTTATTTGAAAAGTACAGTATATAAAAAAAAAAACAGCATCCCCCTCTACTAATCCCAGTCCCCCACATATACTAAATCCCAGTCCCCCCTCCACTAAAGCCCATTCCTCCCCCTCTAGCCAACAAGCAGACTCCACATACATTGCCGCTGCCAGTATGTGACTCCGGAGTCAGGCCTCGGGTATATCCAAATGGCCGTCCGCACCCTGTGCCAAAGCTGATCCTCCCGCTACTTCTTGAAACCCTGTGAAGGTAGAGCACATCAATGTCATGTCGGAATGTGGCGTTGCGTGCCTTCATACACCTCCAGGTACTCCACTGTCCAGTTGCAGCCAATGCAACACTGACCAACACACACTGACACACAGACACTGACCGACACACAGACACAATCACTGACACACACACACTGACTCACCGACACACACTGACTCACTGACACACACACACACATTTACACATTCTTGCACACACATCATTTTTCTTTATTGCTCCCTACCTTTGGGAGCTGATGTGGGACCTCTCCCTGGGGTCCAGTGGGGATCTTCTATCTGCTCCTTTGCGCACAGTTTAGTGATGCCAGGTGCCGAAATATGACGTCATATTCCAGCGCCCGTCTTCACTACAGACGGCGTGCGAGGGAGCAGTGAGGAGCAGCAACAGTGAGCTCCCTCGCTGGCCCTCCTCCCTGGCCGGGTAATTTTTTTTGTGTGGAAAGCAGGTGCCTACTCTGCTTCAATACCAAGCATGTACTCGCGGTTCGACGGGCTGCAAAGATGTCCATTGTGGCCGCGAGTTTGACATGCTTGGTCTAAAGGGAGAAGGGACAACCGGTCCCTCTTCCCAGCTACAGGAGTTACCTCCTAGAGCGGGGAATTGCACCCTCTGTCCCCAGCGACAACTTGGTCCACCTGGGGGGAACTGCAGCCAGGTTATTTCCTGCAGGACCCTGGAAATACAAATGAGTGTGGCAGGAGGCCACCTGGACAACTTCACCTTTTGGGAAAGGCCTCCAGACTATCACCGACCCAGACTGATTGGAGGTCTGGGGTCTGGATAGTCTCCCAGGGAGGGGAAAGATCTGTGACAAACTCGCCTTCCCATGTGAGTTTGCCACGAGCTCCTGGAAGAGCCTGCTTGCCAGCTTCCTGCCCACAGACTATGGGCCATGCAGGGAAACCTGTAAAAGACTACTGAACTTGACCGACCGTTAGCACTGATTTCATGGAACTGTTTTGGGCATAGGACCATGTGCACGGTCGGTCAAAATTATGACTTCCATGAAAACTCCAAATCCCTTAACCGATCTGGGTGATTTTTTAATATGTTTGTCACCCAGTACGGGGCTATCAGGGAATGATTAGTTCAGTTTCTGACTCAATTATCTCTCAGGCACAGAGGAGGAGTTTGTAACTTGTAACTAGTCCCCTCTAAGGTCCAGAGGAGGGAATATTCTGTTTGTGTGGGAGTGTCAGGGGCGTGCTTAACTGTGTCTGAAGGTGTATAAAAGCAGGCCATCTGGCCAGATTAAATCATTCTAGCTTATACTCCCAGAACTATGTGGCGTCTGGTTACTGGGAGGGGAAAGGGTTAATCACTACTCCAGCTTGTTCCAGTGTGAAGGATTCAACGGGGAAAGTCCTTGTAAGGACTCCCAGGAGTGAGTGTTGTCCAGTGCCTGGGAGTGTCTAAAGCGAGTTCCCCATTCGGCTCTAAGAGGGAGCGGTTCCAGGAGTTCAGTCAAGCTATGGACTGTGGGCACAAGCGCTGCGGTTTGTCCCCTGTTCCAGCTAGGAAACGGTCCTTGGCGGAGGTACCCAGCCAGGGGTACAGAGAGATAGTCCTCTAAGCAGCATGTCCAGGAATTCCTGCTCAGCAGTTAACAGAGGCTGTAACAGCATGTCTACATTCAATAGCACAGTGCAGTACAAATATAGTAGGGGGCTCACCCCTTGAGTGCAGGCCACAGTCCTGACAGAGAGCACTAATCCATGCTCTAATAGTTAATCCAAGGTTATGGGTGAAATCCATTTAAACAGCTTATATGAATGGCCTAATTCAACATTAACACGTAACCCCAGTAGTAAAAGTAAAAGCCCCTCAAGCCCCAGAGAAGTGAGAGGAGGAGGGGAGAGGGCAGAAACCAAGAATAAGTTAGAAACACAATAAATAACATAGAAAAAACACAGCTGCACATAGTACAGAAGCACAACAAGAACAAACAGCAAAGTATATATATATATAAAAAATAATAATACAGAAAAAACCTCAAAAGAGGCAATAGAAACATAAAGTAATGGAGAAGAGTAATACTTTGACCTGTCTGCTTGATGGAGCAGCAAAGAAAGAGGAAGAGGTCACCATACCTCATGTACATCCTACTCTCTTTTTTCCGTGTGTTTCTTTGCTGCTGTGGAGCTAGTAAAGAGAGATTATGCAAAATATGAGGCCTCCTGTCATATTGTAAAATTAGCAACAAAGTGATAAAGTAATGTAACTTATCCCAATGTTACATTTGTTGCAAGATAAAATAAGCATAGGTCAGAATAAAATCCTCAAAAACCCAAACAGTAAAAAGTGCAAATTCTAATTTAGTGCAGTGAATACAATCTCTAAATCCTATCACTCTCAGCACCCTTAATGTATTTCAGAGATAATAGACAGAATAGCAACCACTAGTAAATTAGTACTATTCATGAAGAGTCCAGAAAATCTGATATCAGGCACATAAAGTCATAAATTGGGTGTAATTATCAATATTGATTAAATAAATAGTGGTATCGCTATGTAAATATTGAGTACACAGCAGATGACTAACAAGCTTTTTTTAAAATAAACGTTCAGAATGGTACTTTTTGCTTAACCCCTTAAGGGCGACAGGCGTGCAATGCCCTCCTTGGGGACCTGGCTGTAAACGCCTGCGGGTGGCATAGTACGTCCCTGCTGTCCTGGCCACTTACCTGCTCACTGGTGATCCCCCGCCGGCGATCGTGATGGGGGGACTTACCTGGCATACCAGGGAGTCCCCCTGCTGCTGATCCGGCCCTCCTGGGCCATGTGATCGCAAGGTCCTTGCGAGGACCTCACGATCACATGGACGGATTAGCCGTCCATAGCAGTACCAGCAGAGGGGCTGCCTAGAATGACAGGTAGTCCCCCTGCTGCCTGTAATAAAGTTTAAAAAAAAAAAAAAAGAATGTGTCATATGCAGATATGTTAATGGAATTCTTAATGTACTTTATAAGAATTATGCCATACAGTTATATATATTTTTGTATATTTTCAGTGCGTCATATATCCTGTAGGCTAGGGATGTGGTGTGAGGGTCTAGAACCATCTGAGGGGCTTGTTCAAAGAAATATACAGGTAAGACATTCCTGCTGACCTTCCCCTACCATCTTTTAATTTTTAACCATATGCTAATGCTAGAAACAGTGTAACTCTAGTTTGCAGTTAGCCTACCTTCAAATTCAAGGATAATGTAGTTCTAGCGTCAGGCAGTACTCCAACTACTTAAGATAAAAGGTGCAAAGATCACAGCTTGCATCATTTAAGAATGGATGATGACTAGATTGGTGGGAGTGTGATCTATGAGCTACTGACAGTATGAAACCGTTTGGCCTGAATTTGATGCGGATGCATCAGTCTAGACGAGTGGTGTCTGACTTTCACTTTGACTCAAGTGCCTAGTCTGCTGAGCGTAAAATCTCTTTGGTGCATCATTATAGATAAGTGCCCATATTATGATGCAAATATCTGAAATGTTGGTCAAATTCTGGTGTACATGTGGGTGCATCAATAATAGAATATGATCTAACACAGGGCTCGACAAATCCCAGATGCTAGGTCGCCATGGCGACTAGAAATTTCACCCTGGCAACTAGAAATTTGGGCAAAGGCCTGGGATGTCAGCCCTAACTCCTTAGTGACCAGACTGTTTTTCAATTTTCTTACAGTTTGGGATTGGGGCTATTTTTACATTTCTGCGGTGTTTGTGTTTAGCTGTAATTTTCCTCTTACTCGTTTACTGTACCCACACATATACTGTTTTCTTGCCATTAACCCCTTAAGGACACATGACAGAAATATTCCGTCATGATTCCCTTTTATTCCAGAAGTTGTGTCCTTAAGGGGTTAAATGGTCTTTCTAAAGATACCATTATTTTCATCATATAATTTACTATAAATAAAAATTATAAAATATGATTTAAAAAATTAAAAAAACACACCTTTTCTAACTGTGACCCCCAAAATCTGTTACGCATCTACAACCGCCAAAAAACACCCATAATAAATAGTTTCTCAATTTTGTCCTGAGTTTAGAAATACCCAATATTAACATGTTCTTAGCTTTTATTTTGCAAGTTATAGGGCAATAAGTACAAGTAGCACTTTGCTATTTCCAAATCATTTTTTGTTTTCTCTGAAAAGGCAGTGATTACATTGAAAGGTCTGCAGGTACAGGCTATAGACACCAGAACAACTACATGAAGCTGTTAGTGGTGCTGGTATCTATAGTGTCCCTTAAGAATTGCATTTTTCTCATTGAAAATTAGAGGAACACTGTAGGCACCCAGACCACTTCAGCTCATTGAAGTGGTCTGGGTGCACACATCCATCACCCTTAACCCTATAGTGGTAATTATTGCAGTTAACTCCTTCTCCAGACAGCCACTAGAGGGACTTCCGGGGTGGTTAGACGACTTTTGGTCATCTAAACGATGCTGGACGTCCTTACGCCAGGCATGAGGATTTCCAGCATTAC